GAATTTAGTCAAACTGGATTAATGTCACAAGCAAAGTACCTCAGGGCTCAGTATTAGGACCTTTGCTCTTTTTGATTTACATAGATGAAGAAATGGTCAATAAATTACTTAAATTTGCTGATGATATGAAGGTTTTGGGTGTTGCTAGCTGTGAAGAGGATGCTGTTGATTTACAAAAGGACTTAGATCATTTAGTGAGTTGGGCAAATAAATGGCAGATGGGTTGAAATTATAATAAATGCAAGATAATGCATGTGGGTTATCATAATTTGAATTATATATAATTTGAATGGGAATAACCTTAATAGTGTTATGAAGGTAATGGATCTTGGTGTAATAGTCAATCAGTCTCTAAAGCCATCCAAACAATGTGCTGTTGGTAGTGGTAGGGCAAATAGGATTTCAGATTGTATCTACAGAAATACTGAACACAAGTCTAAGGAGGTTACAATTTCATTGCATAGGTCACTGGCTAGGCCACATTTGTAATATAGTGTTCAGTCTTTGGCTCCTTTCCTTAGATAGGACATTGAATTGTTGGAAAGGGTTCAGAGAAGGGTTACTAGAATGGTGCCTGGGGCAAAGGGGTTGTCATATGAGGAGAGATTAAGATCTTTGAAATTGCTTTTTTCTTGAAAAAAGAAGAGTTAAAGGGAATTTGACTGAGGTTTTTAAAATTATAAAGAGAATTGATAATATTGATGTATCATCTTTTTTTCATACTTAATGGTGAGAATAGTAGGACTAGGGGACACAAATATAAATTTAGGGAAGGTAGGAGTCATCATCAGCTAAGACAATTTAAATTTTCTAACAGGGTGGTTAGCTTCTGGAATAGATTGCCTTTGGATGCTGTGGAAGCAGTAAATTTAAATGAGTTTAAGAAAAACCTTAATAAGTATATGAATAATAAGAGCTGGCTTTAAGATCCTTTTTTAATTATAATAGTTTAGTTTAGAGGATGTGACAGCCATTACTCAACAAAAAGATGAGAGTACAAATTCTGAGACTGAGAGACCTGGACTTTTAATGCATCCAAAAGACCTTACAGGGCAACTGAATCCTGTGAATGAGAAAATGAAATAGGGTAAGAGGAATGAGGGGAAGGTAGTGAAAATGCACTAAAGGGGTGAACCCAAGAGTTTTGAAACCAATTATTCGATAGACAAATAATGGTACAGAAAGGAAACACCTAATCAACCATAATTAGGAAAGCTGTACGAAATATAAAGATGTCTGCACAGATGTTCTCCTCAATACTAAATCTAAGGGTAAAATTAATGTACAGTCAAATGAACACAATTAAGAAAACCTACAAAAGTACATCAGCACAATTTACAGAAAGAATAAAAAGTGAATGAACATCAAGTAGATTTCTGAAACTGTGTTGAAGTCAGGAAAAAGACATATTTAAAACAGTATCATTTGATACAAGACTAGCCTTCTCTTATATTACAGAAACAGGTTCAGTATTTCAATTAACTAATAACTGAATCAAGATTGAGGGTCAGTAAATAAGTCATGTTCTTCAGAAAAGATGATGATGAGATCCAAGCAAATACTAGGCTTGACTACTAATGGGGAAGTAAAGGTAGCATCCAATTACATTGGTTCAATGTGAAAAGGAAACAACACAGAGGGAAATGCAGATAACTCAGCTTACACAAACTGAATATACTGATTAATAAGAGCCTTCCAATCAGGGTCAACAACAAAGAACCACATGATGACTTTATACATCTATAGCCAGATAAGGAATAATGTCTCTATTAAAGAGAGAACAGCATCCAAAATAGCTAACAACTCATGTGGAACATGTCAACTGTAGAACTATGATAGTATAATGTACCTTACAATTCAGATAAACTGCCTTGACAGTGGCAAGTGGACGTAGCAATATAAATGTCAGTATAAGAACAGTGTTAGGCTGCAGTATTCCATCTTTACAAGTGGAGATGTATCACATAGCTGAAACTCCTTGAATTTCTTACAATGGAATGTGAAGTAAATACCTCTCTATTATAACTCCCCTTGAGGAATTCAAAGCAGTTTGGGGAGTAACCTAAATAGGTATATCCTCTATGCAATTTGACTTCAAAAAGAGTTCACTATGATGTGGCATAGATGTTTTGACCAAGATCTTTCAAACTGTAGCTACTTGATTGACTTAGTAGAGCCCACAACCCCCTCCAATCGCTTCTGGATGAAAAAGGAAGAAATCTGCCCTAAAGATTTCTCAAACAAAGAATGAAGAATAAGACACAGGTACTGTCAGAGGTGGTGATTGTAATTCAGAGTTTTCCTATACATCATCGTTTTCCAATAAACGTTTTTTAATATTGTTTTTTCTTATATACTCTCTCAATACGAGGTCAGTCAATTTAACGGACCTGGCAACCATTTTGTACTCTTTACAGTTTCAGTTTCCATACTATAACTTTTAACACAGTATGTGCATCTTCATAAAATTTGGCAGACTTTTAGGACACATCACACATCTGCTGTACACAAAAAAATCTGATTTTTAATGAAGTATTTTTGCTAAAGGTTTATATAGATTTATTTTATTAGTCCAAGAGCAAAGTAATTTCCACGTTAAGTTTAAAAATACTTTTGTTCATCTCAACATTATCAAACGTCATTTACATTAAACATCCTAACTACATTTACAACACTTTTTTCAGTACAACTTTATACTTTCTCTACCCAATCTCTATTATGAGTCTATACAAGGTAGGTCAATTTGACTGCCCATGTAACCACCATAAAATTAATCTAAATTACCCTCTTTTTCTTTTCTTGAATGACTTTAGATTGTACCATGAAACTACATTTGTTTATTTTAAATAGCTTTAAACTCTTAACAGTATATATCTATTTATACTTAAATTTTATTTACTTATTTTTTCCCCTTTGAACTTTATGTAACTAATATTCTCACTATTATAAGTTGTAACTCACTTGGCAGACGTGCAGCTTAAGTTATGCTATTATATTACATTATGTACTCCCGAGTGAATTTAATGATAATTATTTTACTATATTATTAGTACTTTCCTATATTTACATTATTATTATTATAAAAGTAACTTATAAAGATTGTAAATGAAAAATAACAAATAATATATTTATCTGTTGTTTTTTTTTCTCTCAATTGTTGATGACACTTAACCCTACTTTTATGTTTTTATACTAATGGTAATATTGCACCAAAGAACACAGAATACTAATATGCAAAAAGCAGATAATGTCCCATAACTACCACAATTTTTCTGAAAGCAAAATTGATAATATTCTGTCAGGGATAATAATCAGTTCCCTTTCCATAATCAGGAGTTCATAGTAACCTCAACTAGTATATCTCAGATGATCTTCGATTGCAGGAGGAGGTCGCTATGTTGTAGTGTAGCCATTTCAGCAAAGGTGTCTTCATAATGTAACTTATTGACTGCCTTTGGAAAGCCAACAAAACCCACTAAAGTCTAAACCCTTCTGTAAGAAAAAGAAAAATCTGGACTACAGATTTATCAGATAACAAGGTACAGGAATTGTTTTTTTGTTTATGGTTGCTTTCCAATGATAGTTATATTTTGGTTTTCATTATTATCAGTACCCACTGATCCCACTCTCCATGGAGTCCTACAAGGGGATGTACTACACAGTAAAACTAGGACAGTGCAGTTATTACCAGCACCAGACATAATGTCCATAACATCTGTTGAGAACAACTCAACTGACTTAGAGTTTTTCACCCAGCAGAGTCATATGCAAATGGTAAACAATTTAAAATTAACACTTCATATCAAAGTTTTAGTAGTTAGATTAAAATTAAACAACAATTAAAGTTGAATAATGTCATTCAGTTTACAAATATTTAAAGGAGAGTACTTTTAAAAAATAATTTTCATGTGAATTTTGCATAATTTTTACCAAGTAATCCAAAACAATCTGTCCAGTATGTTCACAACATTTGCCAAGATTTTAGTAAGCAATGCAAAAAAAATTCAACCTTTTTAAATTAATTATTTCTACCCAAACATTTGTCTGTGACTTTATAAAGCCTTTAATAAGTCTTTCAGTGTGAAAGGTTATTTTCCTCTTAAGAATAAAAACTTATACAAAAATAACATGTATCAATGTTTGTTTCTAACAACTCACACTTTACATTAAAATAACTTACTTTATGTATGTATGTATGTATGTGTTGTTGTTATTATTAGTATTATCAGTTTTAATGACAATATTATTAATTTATAGTGTTTCATGAAATAAATGTATTTTGAATTGATATAAATTGCTTTACTAACAGTAGATAGTAGGTTAATAAATTAGTTCAGTTAGTAGAGTACAAGCTTGACATTTTAAAGGTCTCAGGTTTAACTCCACCCACAGGTGATGGTATAGGTTATAATCACACTAATGTCACTGATTTTAGTTTACTTGCATGAAAGACCAAAATAAGCAACAAAATATAACCTAATTTTACTGATGTACATACCTGACAGAGGAAATTAACTCAATAAGAAATATCTAATAATCACTGACAGAAAATTCATGTACACTGTTAAACAGGTAACATTCACACTACTTGTGTTGTATAGAACACAAAATATTTATATTCTAAATATATATACTTACTACTAGAAAATGTAGGAGTTTCATCTTCATTTTTCATCAATTTGATATCCACCAAATCATCCTGTTCATTTTCAGAAAAGGGTTCAACTTTCATCTTTGATACATCCATGGTGACATCACAGCTTCACCTTTATATCTTTATCAAAACTTGCAGTTAGACTAGAGAAAAACAGGTTAAGAATTAGAACATGTATCCTGTAAGAAATATTACAAATTTTTAATAAAATACTAACCTTAAAGTTATCTTGACAACATTTAAATAAATTCATAAACTTCTTCATATCTTTACACTAAAAGTTACAAGTCCTCTTCGTTTGACATCAACAGTTTTTAAAACAAGATGTCTACTAAGAAATCATGACAATATTTATTAAAATTTATGTAGTTTAAACATAACTGTAGAGTATATTCTTACATCAATGAGTATATATACCTCATATAAACAATTACACTAATAAAGACAGTAGTAGAACTACTGTAATAACAGTTTTCAAATCTTTATACCATATAAACTTAGAGATTTACTGATGAATAGAAGCATTATATGTTTGATAACTGTTTTGTTAAACACTACCGATGCAGAGAATGTAAGTAAACAATAATATAAACATTCTTAAATGTTTTAATGATGAAATACTATTACATGTATAACAACTATGTTGTGTTTAACATTACAAGACAGTTAATAGAAGTGAAAAATATTATAAACTCTAAGTGTTTTAACAAATATATAGCAGTTAAATATAACAATGGACCAATATATATATATATATAATGAAATAAATAGCTTCAGTACTATCATTTATATACATATATACACACACACATCCGTATTTATATACATAACACATGATGGAAATTGGAATAAGCTGTTCTAAAACTGAAAGGCATTTGTTCTTCACCGGTATATATTTTAGGTCTTGAACTTGTAGACCTGGGAAGGTGAGGTTCAAATTGAAAGTCAGCGAGTGTTGTCAGTGTAAGCAATTTTTAAAACTTATATCAAGTGACTAAATTATTTACTGAAAAATAAAAGTTAGGCTTCAATATTTACTTTTTCTAAAGGACGAGTAAAAAGATTAAAGACAACGTTGAAGTTCAAGATCATAAAGGTCCATCATGTTAAATGTTATAACTTATATTAATCTCTTAACTTGTGTACTACTACTAATACTAAAAATGCTTGAACAATTAAGAATTTTTGCCAGAAGAATTGCTAAAACTTGCAAAATAGCAAATTTTACTTTTATTTTGTTATGTTTTTTTTATGTTCCTTGATTATTCATTCTATTGTATACTTTAACAATGAAATGTTAATTATATCAACATATAAAAATGCTTACTCACCTTCTACATGAAATGCATTAATTAAGTATGTAAGTATTACGGAACTGAAAGCAGCTTTCTCTAGCGGTTTTGTGCAGATATAATATTGTGAAAGATTATGTATATTTATGAAAATACCTAGTCACGTGAGATGTATATTTGTGGTCTAACTCCTCACCCCATAATAAAAAGCTAAACTTATTCACAAAAACAAACTAGTTTACAAAATATAGTTACAAATAATTACTGCTCAATATTATTATTGCTATTGAGAAGTGATTTAATTTTAGAATATTGTGTTTTATATATTCTTTTTTGTTTGTTTTTTCCCTAATTCTACCATAATTGAAAACATAATTGTTTCAGTTTTTCCATTCTATTTTAAGCATCAGTTTAAGTGTTTTCACTCTGAGATGATTTTCTGTGTAGAACAGAATTAAAATTGGAAGTATGAGTCGTCTGATTGAGGAAAAGTGACATACTTGACATATCACCTGGGCTAATAAAGATATTCTAAACTTCGACTTTGAGATGGCTAGCAGATACTTTTTTGGTAAGAAGACTAGAAAAATCCCACAAGTAAGACTGCAGAAACATTTTGAAATACACAATACTTTATGCTGATATTTGTTGACTTTACTACATTTATTTTTGCAGAAGATTCTCCGTTCGTGAAGAAATATATTATTAATTCACCATTTAAACACTGAAAGCATACAGCACGTACAGTTCATTTTTGTATTTTCATATGATAGTTATATATTTTCTTTAAACTACTTTATTATGAGTTTACATAATCCTACGTCTGTAACACAATGCTTTAATTCCATTATACCTTTCTTTAAGTTTTTAGTTATGCAAGTAACTGTCCTGTAGGAAAATTAAATGTGTAGTTTTGTTTGGTTGTAGTTAAGCAGAAAGCTATAAAATGCAGAGATGTAGTCAAGACTGGGTGAAACCAGACTAACACCAAGAACAATATTTCCTTATTCTAAAAATCTTATAAATGCAAACATTTGAACAATTGAGGAAATAGTCTTTTCATTATTTTTCAGATTAAAATGTCCAGTTTTTGTGGCTGGGTTTCTATTGCTTCATTCTGATTTGTCAACACTGCTCTGCTGCTACCTACCTATCCAGTTGTTTCTACATCAGGAAGACTATCAGCTTCTTCAAGTACATTATCAATTTTACTGTTCTAGATTGAATTTTGTTTTCTCTGATCCTGGATGATCATCTTTCAACCAATCAAAACAATAATTTAGATGCAGAACACTAGCCACTGGATAGAACATGTTGTGAAAAAGACTGTCTTCTTTCACAAAGTTTCACATCAAGTTTCACATGTGCTGCCATTGCCATAGTGTCTTAGCTATAAGCAAGTGCTTGTGCAGTGCAAGAACTGATGATAACACAACAATAATTGAAGTGTACTTGTCTCCGTGGCAAAGTTCTGTTCCTTCAACAAATGACGTCACGTGTAATCCATTGATGTCTATGATACATAGATTTCTAAGCCTAAGTGATAGAATATAAATAGCGGCAAGCAGGCGAAAAAACAAGCAAGGGGCAGATGAGAGCAAAATCAAGTTGGTTTATTTTATTTGTTTGTTAATACTAATTTTCTGTGTATCTCATCAACCTTACCTATTTTTTTCTTCTTATCCAAATTTGTATCGACATTGTCATGAGTTATGTCGAATCACTGATGTATGTTTGTTTATACCCCCTCTACGAGGGTGGATTAATAAAGAAAAAAAAAGTCACCAGAAGGAAAAGTTCGTTCAGAGTAAAGTTAAACGCAAAATTAATCGTCGTGGGGGTGAATGACCTAACAGTTGATATGTTAGAGTGAGATTAACAATTTCATAAGAGATAAGGAGAATAAGTTACCTTGTCAAAGGGTGCTCTAAAGTAACTGAAACAGCGTGGGTGGATTTTGACAAAAGGCAGACGGTTCATGGAAATACGAATAAGGAGCAGACGATTTTTGATGTACAGGATACAGCTGCGGTAACTCAACGACAACTTAAGTGAGCTATATGTGGATAGTCTGGCGATAGAAATTGAAAAAATATATATTTCGGCTTGTCAACTGAATTCTAAAACAGTTGAATAGACCAAAGTGGACTTTTGACTAGGAGAAGAGAACTATATAGTGTTTAAGATATAACTATTACCTCCATAGAGTAAGGATTTTTTGTACCCACATTTATCTTGTTCCGTATATATATATATATATTATTTTGAAAACAAGTGGAGTGCGTGCTATTCATTTTTTTAATTTATCGCCAATAAGTTACAGACACCTACTGTAGAAGTACCTTAGCCCAACACACCTATATATTGTTACGTCTCCGTTCGTTAGTTAATTTTCCGAAAAATTCTTACCGAAGAAACTTTGCCGATACAAGTCCTTTCTTAAATAAAACTGGTTTATTCTTTCTGAATACAACTTTGCGATACACTTAATTTCAACAGTTGCTCTATAACAAACGCTATAAGTCACGACGAACGTCTCACGTGCTCGGTTCAACAATACTCTGTTACGTCTCCGTTTGTTAATTGATTTTCCGTAACTTCGTTCCGACGAAACTTTAGCGACACAAGTCTTTACTTAATAAAACT